CGAATCTGAATCGTTGCCACTAGCCTTGACAACATTCGCCTCTGAAGCTTGAATAGCTTTTCCTTTATTCTTCCCGGCTCGATCAACTAACTTTGGGCATTCGGCTTTCCAATGTTCATCCTCTTTGCAAAAGGCACACTGATTCTTACGAACTCCGAGATGTGTCCCTCTATACTGTGACCTCCCACTACGGTTTGAACTCTTTGCTCTTGCGACCAACGCCCCTGCTACCGGCTCAATCGAAGTCTCCTTATCCTTCTTTCGAAGCTGATAATTCACAAGTGCAGCGGTGACCTCACTATACGAAAGAGATGCCTTCCCATTAATAAGAGTAAGAACGAAGGTCTCATATTCCTCGTCAGGCAAGGAACTCAACAACAACAACGCCTTGTCCTCATCTTCAATCACCACATCTACATTCGTCAAATCCGCAAGAAGCTTCGTGTAGTGGTTCATGTGATCACCAATGGAGGTTCCTTTCTTCAACTGGAAGCGGTAAAGCCTCCTCTTCAAATGCAAGCGATTCTCCACACTCTTGGTCAAATACTTGCTCTCAAGGATCTCCCAAATCTTCTTTGCAGAAGTCTCATTGATCACATCATACTTTAGATCTTGAGTGAGACAAGACCTAATCACACCACACGCCGTTCGATTCATCTTTTTCCAAACCTTCTCATCAATGTTGTCCGGTTTCCCGTCCAACTCCAACGTATCTTCCAAATTTTGCGCGTTGAGCGCATCCATGACTTCGCATCGCCAAAGTCCAAAATTGTTTGTGCCATTGAACTTTTCCACGTCAATCTTCATCGAGTGGATATTCAAGCTTTGGACGGTCTTCACACCGGAAGTACTGCCCACAACTCCTTCTTTCTCGGCCATAATCCTCAAAACACCACCAAACCAATGCGGAAACAAACGAAAAATAGATCCAAACTGAAAAAGACGAGATTTTTACTAAAAAGATCCCACATTTATCACCAAACGAAGCCCTAGATGAACTTCCAAAGCGATCTACTCCTCCAAATAGCCCAAGCGTTGCCCGAGCTCTGATACCACTTGTTGTGCCTGAAGCTGTGTCGAGGAACCAAACCAAACGCCAATCCAAGAGAGCCAAACGAACCAAATATCAATGCACAAATAAAACACCAATTTTAACGTGGTTCGGCAAGTTGCCTACGTCCACGGGGCAAGGGGGGATGAGGTTTTCACTAATAGAGAAAGAGTACAAACTGAGATTACAAATCACTCGAAGGAACAAACTAATCTCACCAACAAAACTCTTAATCTCTCCAAATAAAACCCTAAACAAATAGCTCAGAAAATACCTCTTTTCTGTGCTCCAAATAGCCCCCAATCAATGCTTAATCAAAGCCTAAACCAAACCTAGGAAACCCTAAAAAACGTTTCTCTATTTATAGCAAAACACAATCCCAAACTGATTGGGATTCTAAAAACGAGTCTGCCATACCCTGCACCATGGGTGTGGCAGAGGGTGTGGTGCAGGACAGATTCTGCCACACCCTGCACCGTGGGTGTGGCAGAGGGTGTGGTGCAGGACAGATTCTACCACACCCATGGCAGACACCACACCAGGGTGTGGTGGAGTCTGTTTTGGGTTATTCTTCACGTTTTTCACAATTCCTTCGCCGTTTTCACAAATTGCCCCACTTCTGAAAGCATGTGCAAGGCCAAAATCAGCAACCTATTTTTTAACAAGTATCCATCAATTAAAAGGATAATGAGACACAGATAAATGCTATACCAGCAATTAATGAAAGAATGTACCTTAATTAGCAACGAAGTTTTCATCCAAAAGAATACTACTGGACTTTATGTCTCTGTGGCAGAGGGGAGGATTACAATAGAAATGGAGGTATTCCTGCATTTGAAGAAATTTCAGTTGCGCAAAAGCTTGTCAACATGAAATCTCATCCGACACTCCAATTCTCAAAATTGAACCTTAGTGGCCATCAAAATAAGACAAAATAGAAATGGACAAGAGTGACTTGTGTAATGTTAATTGCTAAAGTTCAGATTACAACAAGAAAGTTTATCAGAGCTTTGACAATGTATCCGGAAGGATTGAAGTGAGTCGTGGGTCAGTTGTATACGAGACCCGACGAAGAGAGGTTGCGGGATCTGATGGAGAGAGGCGGCGGAGGGCGGCGAAGACGAGGCGGGCGACTGGAGTGGAGGCTAGGGAGTGAAGGCGAAGACGAGGTGGCGAAGATTTGAGCAGAGACTAGAGAGACCGGAGTGGAGGCTAGGTTTTTTTAGTTGGGTTTTAGATTGGTTAGCGGTTACGGGTTTGGAACTTTGGATACCTAAATAGCCCTGAATTCTTATGTTTATTAAATTGCGTATATCTATATCCGCAACCGAATCTTACACTCATATCCGTATCTGGATCCGTATCTAAATAAAAAGGAACAAGATCCGTATCTGAAACCGTATCCGCCCGGTTTTAAAAATGGCTTGTCATATTTGTAGGAGTGCATTCAGTCCGGAAACGGCTCAGATATGATGCCTATCATATCCATATCCGCTTACCCATCTCGGATAATATCCGTTTACCCATCTCGGATACGGATATAGATATGGATATACCTCGGTAAGAAAAATTTATAACCATATCCGCTAAAATCGGATATAGTTACGGATATACATGCGGATATATAAACGGATATGCATGCGGATACAAAACAGATATGAGAAAACTAGATAGTATTGAGAAAAACATAGTTCATGTGATACAAAAGAGTTTGTTAATATGTCCATTATAACTGAAAAGTTAAGACTAGATATCTTGATCATCAAAATTAACCACAAATCCATAATCTAAGAATCAAAACTATCGTAAGAGTATGACTAATATGTATTCGAATATTTCGGATACGGATACAGATATTTCACTATAAAACCATATCCGTAACCATATCCTATCGTTTATAGATTTGAGTAACCATATTCGTATCCTAACAGATACAGTTACAGATATTTCTACAGATACAGATACAGTTTAGCACCCCTACATATCCGTATCCGTTCAGATACAGATGTGGATCGGTTCGGATAAAACCAAACCGTTTCGCACCCTTATCCATTACCCTCCATCCAAACATAGTGTTACATAGTTTTTTGAGGAGCGCATCCTAAAAATCTAAACGGTCTGGTGTGCCAAAATCGCAAAGAATTGTTGAACTAGTATTAAAACTGCAAATACGCAATATTACAAGGAGGATTTGTAAAAACATACGGCAAATCCCGCGTTGGGCGGCTGCTTACGTGGCAACGCGTTCTCCCCGGTCAAAAGCTGACGTGGGCACCGCGTTCGAACCGCGTCAATCATCAAATTACCAACCCACCCAAAGAGAACAACAAAAGAATGGCCAAATCATTTCTAAAAGCGAGAAGCATCAAGCAGAAACCCCGACATCTTAAAGTTACCGCGAATAATACGATCACCGGCTACTCCTTTCTCACGAGATGTTATGCTCACCAACTTTTAACGTCACCTTCGATTATATGTTGATACACGTGGCAACAAACGTAGATGTCACTGGGTGGAGAGACTTGAGTGCAATTTCGTTGGGTGTGTCGACAGTTTTTAGTGTATTCTACACTTTGTACCTTTATTCCTCCAACGGTAAATTACGCCCCTACCCTTGTTCCTTTGAGAAGTGGAGAAACGTGCATGCCATTTTCTACTTGGAAATAGCTATAAATTAAAAAATTGTATCATTATTCATCTCTTGGTAGAAGATTGTAGGCTCAATTACTGTCATCTATTTGCACAATAAATTTTCTTTCCTTTCATGTAAACTTCTTTTGTCAAACTAAAATATTTTCTTTGGGTCATCTAAGCAATGTATTCATTTCCCAAAAATCTAGATCATCTCCATTACCAAAAATTAGTAGACGTATCATTGCTTTTAATCACAACCATTGATTTGTCTAGTGGGTGATTATGTTTTATTTTGAATCTATCTTTCCCGATAGTGGAGAGGGTTTGAAATATATGTCTTTATTTTGTTCTTCTATAAGATAACATGAATATTTTTTCTACTAACTATTTAAAAATAGCATCTAAAATTATAAATAGCTTACCATAATAGATATTTGGCTTATTGAACTTACATTCTTTAATAGGAAATTATCAAATCATAATTTCTTTAATGAAAGGTTCATTTTTTATTACGTGAATGGTACATCTTTTACCAATCATATGCAACCATCTAAAAATTTTTGCACTTAGATCAATATTCATTGTTTTAACTTTCAAGTAGTATAAGAATTATCTTGTTTAATAGGAAATAAAGTTCTTCATAGGTACTATTTTTCCATATTTTATATTATGATATATATCTTTTTCGCCCATATTTTTTTAATCATGTATGATATATTTCTTTTTTTCCCGGCCATAATACATGCTCTTCTATTTTTCCACGTTCTATAGATAAGGGTACGTTTAGCAACCTTATAATATAATCTATTTTGATTATAATCCACCAATATATTATAATGTACACGAATTATAATCCATAATGTTTAGTAAACTTAATGGATTATAACCAACATTCAATAGTAGAATATTTAGCTAACGAGTGAACAATATAATTCTCTAATGTTGTCAAAATGACCAAAAAGAATAAGACTTCTAATTCAATAAGAAGTATACGACTTGAAGTTTTGTGAAATGATGAAGGGTGTACATGTCTTGTACTTTATCAAACCTTATGGTTCTTAAGTCAAAATAAGCTATTTGCCAAGCATACCTTAGCCACTTTATCCACTTGCGAAACATGCTGTAAACTCAATGGAATGATCTTGTGTTTTCTCAAATCTTTATTACAAATAACAGAAGGATAAAAAAGATGCGAAGGAGGTTAAATTTGTCTTTTCGGCTCCACTTACTTTCTTTCAAGGGGTAGTTCCGTCAATAAACCAACCCTCGTTTGAGATGCCCAGCTTACTCCGCCGCGTATAAATCGCCTCGTAAGAGAGAGAGAGAGAGAGAGAAGTAGAGAACAAAGAAACGGTCGTTTGCTCTTTCTCTCTCCTCCGTTGAATTCGATCCTAACCTCTCTTTCTCTCTCTAGAATTCTCGAGATCTCTCAATGGCCGATCAGCTCACCGACGACCAGATCTCCGAGTTCAAGGAGGCCTTCAGCCTCTTTGACAAGGACGGAGATGGTAAGATCCCGCGATCTGATCTCTTTATTTTGATGGACTCGTTAGATTTAGCGTTGATCTAGGGTTTCTACGTGTTTTTTGACTTTGTGGATCGTCGTATCTGACTAGGTTCTAGGGTTTCGATATTGCTTGAATGATTAGATCTTACTTACGTAGTTGGATTTGGAGTTTAATTGGGAGTTCTTCTGAAAAGTACAATTTTTCAGCGATTAATCATTTGTTATATTAACTGGACAATAATTTAACGAGGAGGAAGTTTAGATTTAAGATAGGCCTTGAATCTACTGATTTGTTGTAGAAAGTTGTGATTTTGTGCCTTAATCTTGCCATGTAGTACTGGAAAATTAAGTGGAGTTTGCGGGTGAAATTCGTCAGCATTTAGACTTACTATCTGTTTTAAGTTATCATTGCATCCTATGAACGTGTCATTTAATTTTAGAAAGTTGTGAAGTTGTCATTTTCACACTTCTCATTTCAGCTGGACCGATAACTTCATGTTGATAACATTTTTTATGGAGTGTGTGGACATAAAATAAGGATATGTATAATCAGAATCACGACGCATATGCTCTTTTCTATCGAGCAAGTATACTGCCATGCTATGAGGAGTGGAGACGTGACCATCTCATTCTTCTTGTTCTTTTTGGACGGCATCGGACAACTGTTTGTGTTGTCGTATGAGAATTTGCATGCTCTGCTCGGAACCAAATTAGATGGAGGGATCTGTGTTGGCGTCTATGGTTAAATCTGGAATAATATAGATATATAACAGCAAAAATTGAACAGAAAACTGAAGTGCAGTAATTTAAAATTTTCCAACTCAACTGTTGTGCGTTTGTAAAACGATGTGCTTAAAACATTATTTGGCCCACTCCGGTTTAAGGATCCCAATGCCATATTGCTTTTAGGAACAACAGTCCAGTACTCTGGTGTGCACCGACCCAGTACTGTCAACATATCCTCGATCTATCAGGCAAAGATCTTCTTGATCTATAAGACCTTATTGGTCTAGGCATTGATCCTACGAGCACTAGCTATTCTATAACATATATATCTGTATATATTGATTGTTGTTTTTGGAATAAATTTTTCTTAAGGATTTGAGGTCTATTTATAGCGTTTGGGAAAATACTATACACTAATAAAATAATATTATTTACTATGTATGTGGGATTCACGTCTAAATTTTTCTTCAGTGGTGCTCACCACTTTATTTAATTTTAAGGTTCAGCAATCCACGTTTTGTTTTTTCTTTGCCTAATCATGTGGGGTCGGCTAGCTTTTAATTTTAAAAAATTATCTAACAATCTACCATAAGTTTTTTTTTTTAAATAATATCGTGTAACGATGCCGTTGTTTCAATCGTTATGCATAAGATAGATGTCGTAAGGACTTGAATTCCCTTTAGACCAACTGAATAAAAGATAGATGCATGGTATCGTAGAGACTTGAAGCAGCACATGTCTAAAAATCCAGCGATCACACAAGATCAAACTTATTTGTGGTAGTTTTTACTTTAAACCACACTTTCCTTTGCCTTTGCACATTTATGACCCTATGCATGTCCTGGTTTCTGCTAGGACTCTAGGTATCTTTCCACAATACATCATAGGAGACAACTAAATCTTCACCCATGTATAGGTGAGTTCTTTAAGCATGTTTCCTATCAAACATCCCACATCCAAATTGTTTTGAACTCATTAAGGCTTAAGAGTCATCCTCTCTCATGATAGGATTTTAGATAAGTCCTTTAGGTATGTTTCCTATCTAACACCCCACATCCGGAATGCTTTGGACTCATTAAGGCTTAATAGTCATCCTCTTTACATGATAGGATCCTAGGTGAAAATATCAAAGTTTTGCTCGGGTAGTTCAGCCAGGTAAAGATAGTACTAGAGGAAAATCAAAGATCAATTAAGTATCTCGTTCCTTACGGAGCGCATTACGCAACCTCCAAACCTTGCCTTAGACACCGACTAATCTAAGAAAACTTGAACCCCCTTAGGATTTTACTTCTAAATCTTACTTGACTTTTGAACCATTTATCTTGTCATTAGTAGCATAAGCTTTGAACTAATAACTAGATGTAAATGATAAGAATTTATAAGACTCACCAAACTTTATAAATTTTACTTGACTTTTGAACCAAATATCTTATCATTAGTAACATAAGCTTCGAACTAAAAACTTAATATAAATGATAAGTATTTGTAAGACTTACAAAACTTTGAGACCTATTTCAGCAGACGTCCTTTCGGTTATGTCATTTTTTAGACCTTTAGTCAAATGATCAGTGACATTCTTTGAAGATCGGACGTCAAACACAGAGATGACTCCTTGACAAATGAGCTCTCTCAAATAGCCATGCTTCGGACGAATGGTTCGCTTCTTTCCATTGAACATCGAGTTTGCTATCACAGCATTCGCTGCCTGATTATCACAATATAGTAATTATGTCTTGCAATTCTGTTAATGGAAGGTCTTAAAGAAAACAACTGAGCCACTCAACTTAATCTCCTACAGCACAGAGCGCGAAGAATTCAGATTTTATTGATGACTGTGCAATCATGGTCTGCTTCTTAGACTTCCATGAGACGACGGCTCCACCCATTGTGAAGACAAAATCTCCAGTAGACCTGTACTCATCTGGTTCTGAGCACCAGCTCGCATCTGAATAGCCTTCAATTATACCTGGATATCAAGTGTAGAATAGGCTCAGACCTGTAGTTTCTTTCAAGTATCTCATCAATCTCTGGACAGCATCCCAATAAAACTTTTTAGGATTACTTGTGAACCTACTAAGCATTCCTACAGCGAATGCTATATCTGGCCTTATGCAACTCATCGCGTACATAAGACTCTCAATGATCTTTGAGTACCTTAGCTGCTCTATTGGTCTTTCAGTGTTCGGTCGAAGTTTTTTGTTGTAATCATACGACACTGATAGTTCTGACAGATCATAGTAGCCATACTTTCTTAGCATGCTCTCGACATAATGAGATTAGGACAATCCAATACCTTCTTCAGAGTATATGATTTTGATTCTGAGAATCACGTCCGTAGTTCCAAGGTCCTTCATGTTGAACTGTGTCGAGAAAAATTTTTTGGTAGATGTTACTATCTTCAAATCACTCCCGATGATGAGCATATCATCCACATAGAGGAAGATGATCACCAACTTTTCTTCAACGACCTTGATGTATAGGCACTTGTCAGATTCATTAACTTGATACCCATTATTGCGAACAATAATTCCATCAAACTTCTCATGTCAGAGTTTTGGTGTCTGTTTAGTCCATATAAAGACTTAAACAAGTTTACAAACCTTATCTTATCATCTGGAGCATCAAGTCTTTTTGATTTCTCCATGTAGATCTTTTCTGTGAGATCTCCATTGAGAAAGACAGTCTTTATATCCATCTGATGTATGACGAATTTTTTAATCGTCGCCTATACGATAAGCACTTTGATTGTAGTGATCCTGCAAACTAGTGTATAGATATCAAAGAAATCTATACATTCTTTCTGAGAGAATCCTTTTTGTTACCAGTCTTGTTTTGTACTTTTTAATAGTACCATCAAGACAAAGCTTCTTCTTGAAGATCCAATTGTAACTAATAGGCCTTGCATCTTCAGGTACATCCATCAGCTCCCAAGTATGATTTTGGATCAATAAATCCATCTCATCATCTATAGTTTCTTTCCACAGAAGAACGTTTTTTGACTGCATTGCTTCTTGAAAAGTCTGTGGATCTCTTTTCACATTATATGTGATGAAGTCATCTCCAAAATCTTTATGTCTCCTGATACGCTTGGAAGATGGTTCGATAACTCTGTCATCATTGACACTTTTAGTTTCTCACGAAACTGCCTCCTCTTGTGTATCTGACATACTAGCATGCTCTGCTATATCTTTGAGCAATAAGCATTTATCATTGATAAACTTATTCTTAAAGAATTTTGCATCCCGAGCTTCAATGATGAAGTTGGTTCCAAGGTTCAGGAACCTGCACGCATTGCTATATCCAGCAAAGTCAAGAAACACACATTTGTTTGTCTTTGGTCCGAGCTTAAGCCTTTTGATATCTGGAATTCAAACGTATGCGAGACACCCCCATACTTTGAGACTATCCAAAGAATCTGGATATTCCAATCATAATTGATGAGGAGTATTATCAGTTTTGGAGTAGAGTGCTCTGTTCAAAATCCAGTTTGTCATCAACAAAGCCTCTTCCCAATAACAGGTAGGAAGACCAGATGTGATTAGCATCGAACTCACCATCTTGATCAATGTGTGATTCTTTCTTTCTGCAATCCCATTAGATTGCGGAAAATACGGAGCGATAGTTTCAGCAATGATTCCATGCTCTTTGAAGTATGCTTCCGATTCCTTAGAACGATACTCTCCTCTGTCGCTCCTAAGTTTTTTCAACTGCAGTCCAAGCTGTTTCTCCACTCGAGTCCGAAACTCGACAAACTTGCTAAAAGCTTCATCTTTAGATTTTAACAGGTAAACGTAGCAGAAGCGAGAATGATCGTCAATAAATGTGATGAAGTACTTTTTACCGTCACGAGTGACGAAGCTCTTGAAGTTATAAGTATCTGAATGAATCAGATCCTAACAGGTTGGTGCTCCTCGTGACATTTGAAAATGGCTTCCTCGTCAGCTTTGCTTGCGCGCAAACTTCACACTTCTCAAGTTTGTTACCCCCATATTTTGGAAGTAATCCTAACTTCTTCATGCTAGACAGTTTTCTATAATTTACATGTTCTAGCCTATTATGCCATAATGTAGTGGAGTAAGCAGAAGATGATACTTTATTTATAACTAAGTTGGGTGCAATAGTACTGATCTTATATATGCCATCAGTACAATATACATTGTCAAAATACATTTTCTTAAAGGATAATATAACCTTACCTCCTTGGAAATCTAGCCTCATACCTGCATCACATAGCATGCTTCTAGAGACTAAGTTTTTGACAATTGAGGGAACATATTTCACATCCTTCAATATGAGAGTTTTTTTTGAAGAGAGGGTCAGCACCACAGTCTTAGTTCTAAGAACAGGAACCATTGAACGATCAGCCATTGATACGTTCTCTTTAGCAGCAACATAAGAAGAGAATAGATCTCTGTTGGAGCAGACATGACAAGTAGCACCTGTATCTAACCACCAACCAGAGATGTTATTAGGAGTTGTTACCTGGAAGAGCATAGCCACACAATCATCAATTTGATTGACATTGTGTGTAGTAGTTTTTTTGTGCTTTGCAGTCCTTGACAAAATGTCCTTGCTTCCCACAGTTAAAGTATTACCGTTCTTCTTGAATTCCTTCTTCTGAACGTTCAGGTTCTTTGGATTCTGATTTTTCTTTCTGTTAAAAAAGACTTCCTCTTCTTAAAAGATGAATTATTACCCTTTTCAGAGTTAGCAACCACCATGTTAGCAGACGCCTTCTGCTTAGCAAGGAGGAGCTCAGTTTTCGTGCGAGCCCGAGTCTCGTCCTCGATCCGAATGAATCTTTTCAAATCAAACAAAGTCACATGTCTTTTCCTTCTTCGAATATCAGTAAAGAATGACATCCAATATGGAGGAAGTTTGTTGACAATTGTACCAGAGATGAAGGTTTGGTAAAGACTGATTTTTTCATCCTTCAGCTTCATAACAAGCTTTTCAAGCTCTTTTACTTAAGGCAAAACCTCAGTGTTCAAACTTCAAGTCCAGAAACTTGTCAATGAGGTGGGATTTGGACAGCTTCTCCTCATTCTTGTACTGGTCCTCCAGTTCCAGATTTTCTTTGCAGAAGCCTTATTGGTATAAGCATCTGCCAAATGATCGAGCAGACAGTTAAGAAGATTCTGAATCTGAAGGCTCTTGGGCCTAGAGATGATCACTTGTTAGATAATTTTTTAAAAAAATTAAAAGCTAGAGGGCCCCACATGATTAGGCAAAGAAGAAACAAAACGTGGGCTGCTGAACTTTGAAATTAAATAAAGTGGTGTGTCCTATCGAAGAAAAATTTGAACGTGGGTCCTACATTCATAGTAAATAATACTATTTTATTAGTGCATAGTATTTTCCCAACCTCTATAAATAAAACTCCAAATTCTTAAGGAAAATTTATTCCAAAAACAACAATCAATATATACAGATATATATGTTGTAGAATAGCTAGTGCTCGTAGGAACAATGTCTAGACCAAGAAGATCTTATAGATCGAGGAGATCTTTGCCTGATAGATCGAGGAGATCTTTGTCTTATAGATCGAGGAGATCTTTGCCTTATAGATCGAGGAGATCTTGATAGTACTGGGTCGGTGCACATCAGAGTACTGGACTGCTGCTCCTGGAAGCAATTTGGCCTTGAGATTCTTGCACGGGAGTAGGCCAAATAATGCTTTAAGCACAGCGTTTTACAAACGCACAGCAACTGAGTTGGAAAATTTTAAATTACTGCACTTCAGCTTTCTGTTCAGTTTTTGTTGTTATATATTTGTATTATTCCAGATTTAACCACAGACGCTAACAATCTGGAGATTAATCTGTTGGATGTCTTTTTTGTTGTGCATTTTCTTTTTTGTGATGCCCCCTTTCCGAACATGTCACCAAGGATGGGAATAGGAATAGGACTAAAATCTATTATGCATGGCAGATTATGTCCTCATACTTTAACATACAAGTTTACTACTTAGCCAAATGCCATAAACAGTGCTTCAAATAAGATAATTCCTTATGGACCTATGGCTCAACTATGGTCGTCAATAAGATTAACTTTTAATGAAAGGGTTTTGCATATTCCAATTGTATATGGAAAATATTACTAACAGTATAGTATATATGAACAACAATGTTAAATTGTATTTGAAGTTGGAGCTTTGGAATCCTTATGTTAACTTTGGGACATAACTGTCATTAAAATAAGAGTGGTATGAAACTAAGTTGGACACTGTCCTACTTGTGTATGTCAGTTTCTCTTATTAAACATCAGCGTCTCCAACATGACACTTACAAATTTATAGACCTTGTAGAGACCTTTATCCACTTTTAATTATGTGTACTCGCGTTGACAAATGCCATTTGTTCTACAGAACATGTTAATGAAATTACTTGAATAACAATCAAATCACATTTATATGTATCAAATATGACTATACTCACAAGAAAACACATATATACAAAATCCCTAATGTCTAGATGTTTAAAAAAAATTGCAGCTCCATTTTGGCACCAAAGTGCAATACTCGTGTGTAGCTTAGATTGATGGTGAACTTACTGGTTTTGGTAACTTTACATTTCATTTAATATGGTTCTCTTAGAAACTAGTGCACTTTCTACATATTAATTTGGATTTATGTTATATACGCACCCTTCACATGAAATCATTAGAAGCTGGTGTACATTCATGTTTCGATGAGTACCACGATAATCTTCCATGTGAAGGATTCACTTCTTAATGAACTACGTGCTATTTGAGCAAGAGATTATATATCAGGACACATTATTGTGCTCTTAGAAAAGTAGCCTGCTGACAACATCTCCTGGCATGTTCTTTTTCCCTTTGTTCTTTTGGGTTTTACTACTGGTTCTCACACCAAAATTCTTGGGGTTGTATCACAGACATTTAGTTTACTAAATGCATAGAATGTACTGAACAAACCTGTGGAGCTTTCAAAAGTCGTGTCCTGAGTCTCCTAACCGTTGACCTGTTGGCAGACCTGGCAACTTTCTTTTGAATAGTATTACGACTCATAACTAATTATGACAGATTTCTTGCTCCAAATTCCCTTTCCTCCCAAACAAAATAAAGGAACGAAACAAAATTAGTAGGTCTAATTGGATTAGTAGATAAAGAACTAGTTGAGTAGGAACCTTCAGGTTTTTATATCAGTATAAAGAGGCTAGACTATGATCTTTGCTATGGATATATAAACTTCTCATAGAATGAATCCCAAATCCTACATTTCATCTCAAGTCTTGGGATTCACCATATCGTAATGGTTTCTTGAGTTTTACCTTTTTCGGGTTGTTTCAATTTTTTCCCTGAGTTTTGTTTTGATTATTTCCGTGTAAGCCAATGGTGTACTGTTGAAAAAACTGTTGAAATGCAACTGACATTAATCTGTAATTGAAGAGTCTCCAGATTCAAATTAAGTATTTTTATAAGGAATTTCAGTACAAAATGTTCAACATAGTAAACAAGGAAATCAGATGCTAAGACTTTATTTATCAGTTACAAAATCTTTCCAGAAATGATTTTTTAATAAATGTGTTTTATTTTCTCTATATTTTCTTTTGATAATTTACTCTTTGCATGCAATATGAGTGTGTAGAATCTCTGATGTTGTGTATCTTTAATGAACAGGTGTAAGGATACACCAGGCTTTTAGAATCTTTGTTGTTTAGGTAAAAAGATGATGTGGGAGTTGAAATGGCCTAAGAACCCATGTTTGAGTCGAAAATGTCGTATGTCATGTTTGAATTGAGCGATGACTTCAGCGAAATGATACTGAGTAGAAAATAGATTTGAATAACATCTCCTTCTAAGTTGCATGGAAACGGGCACGGGTACTGGTATGGGTGCGGGTACGGAACACAACAAAATTGTAAAATGTAGGGTACGGGGACACGACTACATATATATATTGAATTAGTACTGTACATAAGATACTTTTTTTTCCCTTCACGTGTCATTAGAATTAAAATTCCGATCACATTTTTTAGTTTCTTTTATCATATTGATTATCGTGAATTGTAAACTACTCATTTTTTTACTAGACATCTAAACGACCCATTAACTATATAGTTTTAAAATTGGGTATGGACTAAAACGAATCCGATCCGTATCTCATTAGTTTCAAAAGACGGATGTGAAGTGTAAGCTCTACATCCAGGAAGTCTTTGACAAGTGTTTTAAATTAACACATATATCGTATAATTGAGTACATGTTGTAATAAATGCATGCATATATTCAAGAAGTGTCCATGAAGTTTGGGTACGGGAAAGTGTCAGGTACGTGTCCGGTACGGGTACTACTTCATTATAGAAGTACCCGGGTAACATAGAGATTCTCCTTTAATGAAGTAGATGGCTCGAGAGTGCGTACGGATTTCATATATAGCTGAACCAAAGATTTGAAAATGAAGAATTTGATGATTTTGTAGTTTGGGTGGACAATGCTTCGACCAAGAAATTTCTGTTGTGCCATTTTTTTTGGAACCCTGAACCTTATAGGTTATACTCATGTGTGCTGGCTTTGTGATGCTTGATTTAAGAATAGTTAGCATGTTAAATTTGTTTTTGCTTTTCTTAAATCTACAAGAGTGGCCTAGATATTAATAAAATAACACAGCACTCTATAACTTGTTCAAAACCTGCATATAAACCAATTTTCTCACATTCTAGGGGAATATGCACTTTCATACATCTACCTGCAATTAATTGTACTCTTGTATTATAACCCATACAGGTTGTATCACAACCAAAGAACTTGGAACAGTGATGAGATCTCTCGGTCAGAACCCCACTGAGGCCGAGCTCCAGGACATGATCAACGAGGTGGACGCTGATGGCAACGGAACCATTGACTTCCCAGAGTTCCTCAACCTCATGGCTCGCAAGATGAAGGATACAGACTCCGAGGAGGAGCTCAAGGAAGCATTCCGTGTCTTCGACAAGGACCAGAACGGCTTCATATCAGCTGCTGAACTCCGTCATGTCATGACCAACCTGGGTGAGAAGCTAACTGATGAGGAGGTCGATGAGATGATTCGTGAAGCTGATGTTGATGGAGATGGCCAGATTAACTACGAGGAGTTTGTCAAAGTCATGATGGCCAAGTGAGGAATTTTATATCGATCCCTCTCTTATAAATCTGGTCCTTATTTTATTAGAAGCCAGAAAAAAGAAATTCAAGGGCAGTTAAGTAGTAGTACTAGTAATATTATGATTTTAAGTTCATGCTGTTGCTCCGTTTGTAGGTAGTTTAAATTTGATAGGTAAGGAGAACACAAACGGATGATGGTGATGATATTGTGTGTTTGTGGCTTGGTGGTTGTGGTACTTTTTTCTATGTTTTTTGTGAATTTATGCTTTTAATGCTGATCTTGTTTTCTCATAGTTTGGGAAATTGGAATTGGTTTTCGTTTTTTTTTTTTTTTTTTTTTTGTTTAAACTCTTGAACAGTGGGCTAATATATTTTTGGCGATTTAGTTTTTACCTCGGTTTCCACTTGGTCGGTTGATCTGTATAAGGTTTGATTTGTTTGCTAACCTGGATAGACGTCAGCATAATATTCTATTGTACATATTTTATGATTGCAATTGCATTTGCATTCTCTTATTGGTATCTCGCTACAAAATGAGATCCTCTAGCATTTCAACATGCACGCTTCGCAGGTTCACATGTCGATGGCATTGCCATTATGAGCATTAATTACGGCATTATGAAAACAATAGGAGAGTGAGATGGAAGGAGGAAAAGGCCTGAGCGGATATTTTGGCGTAGATCTGTTTGGGGGCACCCCCTCGGAACTAGTTGAGAACTAAGAACTGATTTTGTTTTGGCTCATCACTTGTTGAGAACTAAGTGGGTCGAGGGCATAAACTGGTTTAGGGAAGAGTCGACGAACCGATACGAGTCTCACCATGTTAGGGATAGAGATGTTTTTGTCGACTTGATTATAGGTATTAAGTACGATTCGAGAGGCACATCCACTGGTCGTGGTCGAGTCTTTAAATGAACAACTTGTTCGTTTTGTGCAATGGTGAACTGACGAATACGTGCAAAATCTTTTGTGCAGAAAGCGGCAGAGGATGAGAAACGAGTCGAGGGGCGGAGGAAGCAGCAAGTCCCGTCCTCGTAAGAAGAAAGGGGAGAAGAAAGGTGAAAATCCCAGCCGTTCGAACTGTACCATTATCTAATTAACAAAGACCGAGAGGAGGTAGCACAACAAGGAGTTGCATGCCTTTGTAACTTGCGCGTATACGAGATCCCTTAAGTAATGATAAAATCGACGAAAATAACATCTTGGTTACTATCATGGCCGCAACTTTTGGTTTCATGTTTGAGAGGCGAGGAGATCCAAGGGATGTAAATTTCTATTACGACAAATGAAATGCTCAGTTTTTGTGCCTATAGAAATGATTAATCGTCACAAATCATAGNGTCCGTTCCTCATGCAACACGTAACAAGATCCCAATGTTGAAGGGCTTCAACTTGAGACTCAGCATAAATATACAAAATATTACTTAAAACTTTGATAGATGAACAAAATGACTGTCCAAATCCAGAACATTGACGAAAGTACAGGAACTTTTTCAGAGCTGATGATTACTTAGCTCATACTTGTTACAAAAGAGGAGTTATTGCAACTGCATACAAAACTCGTAGTACCTCGATCAAGAGTCAACAAAACTCAGTCACCTCATCGTAATAACTATGCTCAGATCTAAAAAGCACACTTGTGCTGAGTAAACCGAACCAGAAGATGATAAATGAGAAAAATCCTTTCTCCATACAAGACACTGGAAAACATTCACGTCATCTTTACCCTTAATAAGATTGCACAAAATCATCCAAACTCATCGCAGATCTAGTTTGCTATGCTCATATCTTTGGTAACTAGAGAACGATATTAAATCGAGAAAACTAGAAATAAAAACAAAAAAGACCTTTTTCTCAATAGATACACTCGAGTTTTAATCTCAGCCAACTCGGTTGTTAACAGTCATGTACAAGGACCTGAGCTGAGCGTTCCATTTATCCATGGCAGTATACTTCTTCATACCTTTCGACCTGCCCAGATAAATAGAAACGCACACACAGTTAAGAGCTTAATTACAACTTTTGGAATTTTGATATTGAACGGGCAAATTGCACATAGCACCCCTCATCTATACCTCTAGTAGCAGTTAACACTCCTCAAGTAATTTATTAGCACTTAGCACCCCTGGATTGTCGTTCTTAGAAGAACAAATTATGGATAACAATTCTCTCCCTCGTGAACTGAGGGAGGCTAAGTGCTAATAAATTAGTTGAGAGGTAGTAAGTACTATTAGAGGTATAGATGAGAGGGGTTATGTGTAATTTACCCTTATCGAAACAACTGAAGGAGAGGGATAAAAGTGGTTGACCTGTCCCCGCGTTCCAGTGATCCGTTGACTTCATCAATATGACCCTGTACACGGTTATCTAGAATTAAGGAAACCAACAGCTCCACAACATCTTTCTCCGGCACATTGAGTTCCTAAACATCAATGAAATTTTTACGAGTAAGATGAGCAATTTCACTCTAGAGGGGGAAATAATTGGTAACTGCTTATCAGAAGGTATAGATACGAGTATATGTTCTTGACCAATGAACAATAATTGATACAAATAAAAAGTAGTTAAGTCCTCCAAAGAAAAACAGTTAATAGCAGATGGACTCCCGATACGATCACCCCATTGAGCATGTAACCTGTAGTTGCAGCAGATAGATCCCTCGAGTGAAATTTTTTCTTACTCTTTTACCCTTTACCCTCGGAGAAAGAGATTTTTTGGCAAATAAAAACCTCCTGAAGGTAAAAGAGTCAAAAAGTTTCATCACAGGGGGTCTGTAATAATAGAACTACAGGGTACCCAAGAAAAAAAATTAGAACAGTACAAAGATGGGCTAAAGGCAGGTCATATTCTCAAATGCAACTAACCCAACCCAACAATCAGAGTCTTAATAAAGATGCAAAGAAAAAACAAGACAGACCACAAATTAAATAATTATTAACAATAATTACAATAACATAGCAGATGGTTGTCTGACACAAAAAAGCTTCTATAAGTACAAGTACCGAGCTCACATGACCAATTTTAAATATATTGTTAAGTCAAATAAACAGGTGTTTAATTATGAGGCATAACCAACTCAAAGAAACGATGGTCGTGGTGACAATGATAGATAAAAAAATTTGCAAGTCAAACATGTTAAAAGTAGAAAATAACAATAACATCAAAAGGTGACGTCTGACACTACATCTTATATATACATAGAATTACCCAGCTCATGTATCAAATTGATGACTGACATAATAATGTCTGAAGATAAGGTTCTGTAAATGAGAGGCCAACACGAAACCAAAGAAATAATAGGGGTGATGATGATGGAGGCAACCTTTTGGAACTTCATATAATAGAACCAGAAATCAGTAAATCAATTGGACAAAGTATTTATCTAAACTTTTACACGTTAACATTGTATTAATCATTTTCCAACTAACAGAGAAAAAGGAAAAAATTAAAGCCAAGCTAACAAGGTCAAATCCACAAAGACTAGCACCAGGAAGCACCTTACAATCCATCTGGTTGCATGAATTTGGGAGTTAAGGAATACCAATTCAAGGATTTTGGTCTCAAATTATACCCTTCTGTTTCAGGGGAAAAACCAAATTCCCTTTTGCACATTTCATTTCTCTTCTGGAATGGAGAATTCCAATTCCTAGAAGTAAAAAAGGAGATGACAACAACAATTCGAGCATTTAAAGGTAGTCGTACCCACATTTACAACGAAACATTAAGTACAACTCAAAGATACAAGCAAGCAGCACTAATTTGAATTTGATAAACAACTACAAAAAACACTAATGCCAAGAATTGGATTTGCAGTTCTGTTACTCTCATTTTATGAATCTAGAATTGACATCAAATCATAAAAAACGACACAACCATTGAATCCGTTAATGAGTTAAAAGTCCCTTCAAATATACAATTCAAGATTTTATCAAAAGTTTCAAAATGGTATGGCATACTATGTAATAGACAACAACTTAGTCATTTTAAAGCTCATAGAACCAGTGAAATACAAAGTACACACCTGTGTTACCAGGGTACTTCTATAATGAAGCCGTACCCGTACCGGACACGTACCCGACACTTTCCCATACCCAAACTTCATAGACACTTCTTGAATATATGCATGCATTTATTACAAAATGTACTCAATTATACGATATATGTGTTAATTTAAAACACTTGTCAAACACTTCCTGAACGTAGAGCTTACACTTCACATCCATCTTTTGAAACCAATGAGATACAGGTCGGGTTTGTTTCAGTCCATACCCAAGTTCACAACTATATAGGTAATGGGTCATTTAGATGTCTAGTAATAAAATGAGTAGTTTACAATTCACGATAATCAATATGATAAAAGAAACTCAAGAATGTGATCGGAATTTTTAAAATGAGTAGTTTACAATTCACGATAATCAATATGATAAAAGAAACTCAAGAATGTGATCGGAATTTTAATTCTAATGATCACGATAATCAATATGATAAAAGAAACTCAAGAATGTGATCGGAATTTTAATTCTAATGACACATGAAGCGGGAAAAAATTATCTCATGTACATTATTAATTCATATATATATGTAGCCGTGTCCCCGTACCCTACAATTTACAGTTTTTCCGTGTCCCCTACCCGTACCCGCACGTGTACCAGTACCCGTGCCCGTTTCCATGCAACTTAGGTACACACCTTTGAAATGAAGGGGATTCCAATTCTTGTGTATGGCTTGATGAGCTTGAGCAAGACTTGAGTTCTGATCTTTTTCAAGAGATCCACAATATAATTGTGGATAAAAGGATCATCCATGATAGTTCTTCTGTTCGTCTGCACAAGTTCAAGCAAGGGTCAGGTGATATAAGCATATAGTAACACTAAGAAGTAACAAACTCAATAACAAGCAGCAGCAGCAGATACCAACCTTCAAAATCTTTTCAAACTCAAAAATCTCATTTCGTTGATATGCTGCTATAAGATTTGTCATTGCCAAGATTTCAGGATCGTTTTTGTATCTGCAGATAAGGTGCAACTCTTGTAAAATACAGAGAATTTCCTCTATAAAAGAGTAAAATAGACACAGAAAAATATCTGATATGTTATGAAACAAAACTAAAAGCAGATATTCCTTTACGTAATCAATACTAATTTCACGTAATAACTTACGGTTTAGCTTCCTGCCCATCAAATGGGTTCACTGAAGATTCCATCAGCATGTTGGCCAGAACCAAATATCTGATTTATGCAACAAAAAATTACAATTAAGAAATAAAGGGAGAAGGGGAAGAACGGAGAAGAGGGGCATATGCTAAAGTTGGTTTCTCAATTATATACTTGAGACACTGAATGCGGCGATGATTTCCAGCTTCATCATAATTCTTGAATGCTTCAAAGAAATCAGTTGCTGCTTCATCCCATTGCCGTTCTGCCATATGCATCTTTCCTCCACATTCATGAATAATTCCCATAATTCGAGGATGGGGAATCGCTGACTTTACAGAAAGAGCTTGCTGGTACAATTGCTGTCATAGGCCAACATATCTGAATATTAACTAGTATGCTACTCTAAAGTTTAAACCCGGTATACGCTTGAATTAAACCTAGATTCTAGTCCTTCAATCATCCATGTGTTGTTACCATGTACATATGCTGAACAATAACAAAATCTTCACACTGTATTTTTATGTAGGTGTTTTCACATATATACCAGCTTATTTGCAAAAATACCCCCCAATCTCAATACTTGCAAAACTAACCCCCAAATAATCAATTTTGGAGAGAGAAAAAACCCACCAAAATCAACGAATCATCAAATTTGTTGGATATGGTGAATAAATATTTGACTATTTTGTTGATGTTTTTACAGTGCAGCTACAAACTAGCCCATCAAAATTGATCATTTGTTGATATGGGGCTTATTTTCCAAAGTTGGTGCTTTGAGGGTAGCTTTTCAAATACTGATTTTTTTTTGGTTTTTTTGGAGGGGCGGTTTGCAAATATGAATGATATAAGGTATATATGCAAAAAATACATATCTTTGATGTAAAACAGTTTTCATATGGATCTGTGTGAATTGCATTCTTATAAGTTATAATTTTGAGTTATGAAAATACATGTAACTGTAGCATGGTGTCTAGCTTAAAATGTCTGATATTGCGCTAGTATGGTTAATTGGCTTCCACAACTTTACATATGCAAAAGCTCCTGTTAAATTTCCAACACAATTCTGAAATTAATAATACCATGAGCTTTTTGTTGTTTTTCGTTTCGGTGTACATCTGTATCTCAAGAGCATAGACCTCCAGAAGCTGTGTTCCCTTCTTATGATCATCAGTTCCATCTTCTTTTCGACAAGACTTACGAAGTTCTTTCAGTATCTGAAATGTACCCAGGAGACAACTTGAAGTAAAGCACGCAAAGGTCAGGAAATCACAGAAGAAAGCACAATCTTACCTTGTTCATCCGTGAAAATTCACCCATATCAAACCATATCTTGCATAGCTTAAGATTGGTTTTAAACCACAATCTCTGCAGAATAATAAACAAAAAAGTTTGAGAAGGCCATAAATGCTTAGTCCATGCCACCAAAAGCTAGAAACCCAAGAGGATTCTCCAACAAAAAAAGACATCTCTCTTACCTCATTCTTGGCCTCTTCAAGAGCCTTAAGCGTTGTCTGATAGAACTCCTGTAGGAGACTAAAATTCTGACTTGCTGAACCAGAAACAAAATCCATTATGTTATTTAAACATTTTTCGCTGTAGTTACGCGTAACAGCCGATTTTATATATGTTAGCATCTCCCTGTAGGCATCCATCATCTCTTTATATTTCCCCAATTTATAGTAAAGCTTCACAGTTTGCTTTAGTGCTTTGAATCCCCTAGTTGAAAGCAGGGGTAAACGTTTAGCTAACAAAAGATAACCATGTGATTATGCATGTGGGTGCATATATATAAACATGCACTTCACTAGATTTGCGCTCATGGGCTCATGACAAAGAAAGCTAGCACAAATAATAGTAGTAGTAATAATAATAAATCAATTTCTCAACCAACAACACATAGCAGATTAAAGAAAAAACACTTTATGCTCAAATATTTCAGCATCAGAGGCTGTGTAGATTACAAAATATATGAAGAACCAGTGGCTGTTAAATGCCATTGGAGTACAGGAAAGGATCTGATAAAAAGACAGGCTCAGAAGTTAAACATATACAGTTCTACACAGAAAAAAGAAACTGCTGGAACATCTAGATTTAGATATGAATCATCCCAACAACCAGAAATATAAAGTTCAGCAATGTAAATATGTAAACTAAAACCAAATAGCCTAAACTGATATAAAAGTTTTGTGGGAATGTAAAAGATAAAAATCCAGGCAAGACAATTCATGGCGCTACACTCAACCTAAAATGACAGAGAAAACAAACATTTTATGATCCTCACCACTCCGCTTTCTCAGACTCCATCTGAACTACTTCAGCAAAGCCAGCAAGTGCTTCCTCTGGATCAGTTTCAACTAAACCTGTAAGAAATGGATGGACAGAAGAAACACTTGAAGCAAACAGAGGGACAGATGTTATATACTAATAATATTTCATAACCTTGGGAAATATATCATTAACTAATAAACTAAAGAAATATCCCTTTTCTACATTGTTAGTGTATTGTTGATTTACATATTTGAAATCAGTTTTTCCACAAAGCCATTATTCTAGCTAATTTGTGCATCCTTTCTAAGTGAAAGTACATTATATGTCGTCCAATGGCAAGTGAATTAGAAGGGTAACAACATGAGATGACTCGGGGTGCTGATTTCCATATGATGACAGCCATCAATGTGCTAAAGTGGAATCCAAGTTTGGCACATGAATGGACAATGCATTTCTTGCCTAAGCAAATGGCTTTGATTTCAATGCTCAGGCTAATTGTGCATCCTTTCGAGCTGTTTCCATCATCAGTCTGTCGCTTGTGTCTTTAAAGGATAGTTAAAGCTCACTTGTCTCTTGGACCTTTTCACAATTCCATAGTTACATACATGGTTTAAAATATTTATGTAAGCTCCATTGAAGTAGGAATATGATGAAACCTCCAATCATATAGTCATATGATATATTTACTACAATATGCGACACACTGCCCCAACAAAAATTGGCATGTCCGACACCACATGGACACGAGACTCATGATGTGGATTATATACTGCCCCTTCTAACGGAACTTAATTGTATTACAGAGAATTTTACTATGATTAGGTTATTTCATATATTTCAATCTTTGATATACGATACCCCACGCAACACACACATTTCCAACAAGGTGTACATTTGAGCTTGCTTAGTGATGGATTTACAGGACTCAACTATTCGAATATGTTGCTTGATGACTTGCAAGATGTATTGCATGATTAATTAAAATGATAAAAGGTCACACCGACTGAAAAAAGATTTGAGTACCCATTAGCATATGTGGCTAGTATCAATTTTGAGAATAATATAATCTTTAGGAGACTGGTGTTGGAACATTGTTGCTCTAATGACTGTTTATGTCCAGAGGATTCATTGCTTAACCCGCAATACATCTACATAAAGGCCAAAGGTCGTTTTCAAGGTCGTAAAACATTCCAGATCATCAAATATCCAAATGTGATCTCATGATTAAACAGAAAATCTACATAAGATGAATATCCTAGAACTCCAAGATTAATTTTTGGACTTAGGATGAAACAAACTCATAAATACAATGTCTCAATTTCAGGTGAGAAGCAACAAACTTGAACCAGTTCAACCACCTGGTATCTTTTGGAATTTGTTCACTTCTTTAGGGAACAAGAGTATCCAAAATCCAATAGATAGTCACAATCCAAGAATACGATAATTTAAGTCGTAAGATACTGAATATTGATTATCAATATACTGATAGAACCATATGAATGTTCAATTATTTCATTTGATTTATCCACAAAAGTGAAAATTTTCTCAGGGACCTTCCGTGCAAAAACTCATTTTCTAATTGACATACCAAATTTGTGTCCTTACAACTACACCTCAACCCATTGTCAAAAAATACTGGCATATGAGATTCATATCTAACCCAATTATCTACATGAACATATTTTCGGAAGCAAAAAAAAGCTATATTACTTGGGCCAGAGGCAGGTTAGTTTATCTGCAGCAGAAGTCAAATGTACAGTGGCTGCGATCTTCTCATACATTAGGGAAACCAGTTACTGTGGGGGCAAGGTTGAGTCACGAACCAAACTGCAACAGCACAAAGACCCAAGAATTGACATAAAAAATATGGGAGCAAGCTACCATCCATGTAAAACTTGCCTTGTTTACCAAGATGTTGCAAGCACGTGTATTTAATCAAAATTTGTTCCTGGTAATACTTGGTAAATGCAGTAATTTGTATTTCATACAATCATAATTCAGTTAACCTTGCCCTTTTAACCATAAGGCAAGAGAAACTATATTACTAAGCTAAACAGGATACTCAAGTTTTAAGAATAACCTCTGAAACTTTGGTTAGAATAAATATCGAGAATAACAATCGCTTAACTGTATGTAGTGATCATGAGCCCCGCCACGATATTATCATGAGCCCCGCCAGGAAATGTAATATGTTGCTTGGAATTGAGAAAATCCCAATCATGTGAAAACAAGCACATAAGCCAAACTACATACCTATTAACTCTAGGTTTGTCACAGGTAGAGTAGAATTACATTTACCGAAACAAACCATAATCTTTTAAACTATCAAGAAAAATTGAGAAAAATCAGTGGTGACTATCATTTACATGAACTCTTCAAATAATTTGGACAATCTTCAAAAGCATAGATTGATATCACATGTAAGGCTCCAACTACATTAGCTTTTTTGTGGCACTGCACAATTATGGCAATGTCCTCTATTACTATCAACATATATACTTGCATACATCAGATAGAAAGACTAAGTCACAAACAAGTTCCAAAGGCATTTATTTTACAACACCCGTGTCTTGAACATGAATGGATAACCCCTAAGATATTATAATCCGTTAAAGGCCTATAGTTTACAAAAACCCCTACATTTTGTTAGTTCGTAGAAACCAAAGCATGCACTATAACAAACTTCCAGTAACATGCTCATCTTCTTTCACATTGATGTGAAACCCAATGAAAGCATGACTTTACTAAGCACAAATTCGAGTCCATCCGAACTTAATTTTTCATAATAATTCAAATGCATGTTAGTCAAAACTCACATGATTCACTACTAGACAGTCTCCTTAAGGCAGATACAGGAAGCAACTAGCTATTTTCCAATACCAGATACTAAGAATCCTAAGCACCTCTCAGCTCTTTCTATAACTATCCCTGATTCATAAAACTTTCACAAAATCAAAATCTCAAAGACTTTGGAAATACCATATTATTGAAGGATGAATACACGAGTAAATACCACGAAGAAAGGTATTACCAACTATATCCTACTATAAAATTATCAAAAAAAAAATCACCTTTAGAATTGTAGTACTGATTCTCAATATCAACGTCCTGTTCTTCTGGCTCCTCTTCAGAGTACTCGAACCCATAATCCTCCATATCCGCATCTAAAACGAACCAAAAATCAAGTCGCATTCACAAATTCCATTTTTTAAAAAAAAAGTTCAATTTCTAGGGTTTTCCAAAAGCAACTGAAACCCTAAACTAAAAATCGCCAAACGATACGATTAAAAAAAGACGATTTCTCACCGGAACCCATGATCGGATATCAGCGAGCGGTCGCCGATGGCCCAGGGTTTCCTCGATTTGAGTTTTGAAGGGGAGGGCGAATTATGTAGCAGAGTTTCGAGAATATTTGCGAGAAAATGATAGGTGTTTTCTCCGTATTTTACACCCAAGTCATCTATTATATGTCAACATTACCCCCGGCATCTACATATTTGCCGATGTACCCCAAAATCCCCAACAGAATGAAATTTTCTTTCTGTATAAATAGACCCCTCAAGATGAAAGCGTCAAAAACATTGGGTTATTTTGATATTAGCCCCCACATCTTTGAAATTGAGCTGAGACCCTCCAAATCTTGAATAGTTTGAATTAGCTACCCAAATATATAAAATTGATCTCAGGCCCTCAAATCACAATGGTATGTTGAAGTAAGCCTCCTTGGTTAAAATATGGTTAAACTAAGGGGAAATTTCTGATCACTTTAATTTTTCGTTGACAGTCCTCTCACAAAAACCCAAGCACATTAGTCACTTTTTATGTGTACCGGTTAAGCTCCCAAAATCCGTCTAGTGAAACCCCGACTCAAATATATTTCCCACTTTATCTTCTCTAACGTCTTCTTCAACATCTTCCCCCAACGCAAATCTACGAGTTGCAAATTTATGATTATGGCTAAAGAGAGCAAGCAAAGAAGATGAACGAGAAGATGAAATGAAAATAGTTTTGGTTTAGAGTTTTATTAAATGGATTTGAGAGTTATACGAGTATAAATTTAGTGGTTAATGAGTTTAGGTTTGCTTGAGAGCAGTATAACTAGCAATCACCAAAAAAATTAAAGTAAATGGAATATTTCCCCCATTTTAACAAAAAAATTATTTTGACATACTAGAATTTTGGGGCATGGATCAATTTCAACTATTTGGGGGGCTAATACAAACTATCTAAGATTTGTTGGAGTCTGATATTAGTTTCAAAGATTTAGGGGGCTAACACAAAATATTGAAGATGTAGGGAGCTAATACGGAATAACGCGAACACATTTTAGCCATAGGGTACACCTACAAAATATAATTTTAGAGGGTTATATTACAGGAGGGGGCCTATATGCGATAAACCATCAAATATACTTGGACAAAATAACTAAAACTCCCTTGAACTATTTATGAACTCTCTTCCTGCTATAAAGTATCACTTGCTTAGCCTAATGTGGTCATTTTCTTAATTCACAGTCAAATATTTAGTAGATAGATGACATAACATGTGTGTTTTTGCTTTTCTTTTATTTTCAGTAACTACAAAATATTATTATTATTTAGTTGCAAAAAGGAATAAATGGTAAGTATTGAGGTGAAGTAGTTGGAAAAAGAGACAAACAAATAAAAATCATGAAGAAGTTAAAAAAACAATGTTATCTCATCAATTTGTTAAATATTTGATCACGTGCACAAAACATGGTCAAAATTGAGCTAAAAATATGATTTAAGTGGAATTGTTGCATTGGTACTTCAAGGCATAAGTTGATAAATCACCAATACATCAAGGGGAATTAGTCTTTTTCCAGTATATTTATCGTGTGATTGAGCTAATATACTCGTAACTTCTACAAACTATTGCAAGTTAACCAAGCACTAGAGTTGCTCTGAAATATATCCTTCCTTCGTATATAATGAGAAATTAACGGTACTCTTGAAAACACCAAACAACACGACTTAAGCGCGTAAAACAATAACACATATTATATGTTGATTTATATTAAATTAGAATTCTTACATGATGGATATTTTCTATCCATAACTAGAATCCTCATCAAATTAAATCTATCTATAATTAGACAATTTTAATTATAATAAAAAATTAGTATTCTTAATCAAATCATAATTATGTTAGGCCCCATGTTTATGAGACTATTGTCTAATCTAGTTTTGATCGTTTGTCAAGTGTTTGTATTTGCTTGTTAGCAATTCTACACAAATATCCTCTGTCGGAGGTTGGATGGACTTGCGCTTTCACGATCATATTCAAAGGATGTTGGAAGGATATCGGAATGAAGCCATCGCAATTCAAGTCGAGATTCATTATCGCTTCATCTGTTACCAAGATCGAGTTTCACAAAGATTTCTAAGCTTGGTATATTGTTTATAGTGTTTTATGTTTGTACTTTATGTGTTATGCTTAAAGCTCAAACCACACACATACACGTTTTCGTTTTATAGCTTTCAAGTTTAATCGTATAGATATGAAACAAATAGTTATATTTATATACATATATACTTGTTTCATATTTATCATCTTTATTTTTAAAATGATGTGTTTACAGATGAAAGACTTGATTATACTATTTCACATCTTTTCTAAGTCCATTAATCCATTTAAAAGGATTCCAAATCTTGGTTGAAATCATTTTGTCAAAATCAAGTGTTCAAACGAACTCGTACTCTTGAGATTTTGCAAAATGATGAGTTTTCACAAACGAAAAATAATATTTAAAAAAATTCGTTTCTAACATGTTTGTTTTCATCAGAATAAACATTTTCCCAAGTTTCATAATTTTTAGAATTTATTTACTATTTTTAAACACACTTTGAAAATTAGTTTTACTGTTCATATATGGGTTGTGCACGTTTTTCGGTTGACTGACTGTTCATATCAGTCAACCGATAAATTACTCTGGATTTTTTTTTGTTTCTGCTCAGTCGACCGATCCTTATCAGTCGACTGAATAGTGTTATTAGTCGATCGATGTAGTGTCATCAGTCGACCGATAGCTCATTTGTTTTCGCTTGTTCAGCCACCGGTCATGTTATCAGTCGACCGATATAGTGTCATCAATCGACCGAGAGCTCATTTGTTTTTGCTTGTTCAGCCAACGGTCATGTTATCAGTCAACCGACTTATGCTATCAGTCGACTGATGATGTATTTTATCTATAACGGCTAGTTTTGACAGATTTTTTTAAGAGGTTATAAATACCCCTCAATGCGTATTTTTTGAGCCAAGTTATTTAAGAGTTTCATCAGCTTGTTTAAGCCCTTTTGGCTGCACGTTTTTAAAGAGTTTAAGTGTTTGTTTGTTCGCAAAAAGAGTTTACAAAGAGGAGAATCGAAATTTCATTTTTGAGGAGTTCAATCTTAATCATCATCTACAACTCTTTGTTTTCATTGGAGAAGTTTTCTAAACTCATTTATCTAGCTTGTTCTTATTTTGATTCTTATATATATTTTTTGCTAGATTAAATTTGAGTTTAGTTTTATTATTATTCATTATTTTCACACACAACCACTTAAGCTTAAGTTATTTCATATGTTGTATATTTTTGGGTTGTGAGAGTGTAACAATTGAGTGAAATTTTCTCATCCTTGTTAGAGAACAAATCCTTTGTTTGCACTTAATTTTTGAGAATACGTTGTAATATACAAGAACACTTAAAGGAGTGATTGAGAGAAGAACGTGATCAATTCCAAGAGGAGTGACTTGGATGTAAAAACCTAGGGAGATGTTGTAATTCCAATCACTTGAGGAAGGTAACACGGGTCGGTCAACACTTAGAGAAGTGTATTGTGTGAGTATCAACATGTGAGTTGTAAAAGTTTTCGGTGAGTTTTGGAAACCGATTGCTTAGTTATTGTGTTGATAGTGGAGAATCTCATCGAGGTGAGGAGCGGAGACGTAGGTCGAGTGTTAGACCGAATTATGTGATCATATTTGTTGTTTGCGATGGCCTTAGCGTATTATTCTTGTGCTCATTATTTATCATTTTTTATATATCGTCATTGTCTCGTAGTTTATATCGCCCATTGTTTAATTATACATCATTGCATATATCACTTGTGTATATCACATTGCTAGGATATTGTTAATAAGTTTTAATTTAGCATCAATGTCGGATTAGATTAGCAATTACCCTATTCACACACCCCCCCCCCCTCTAGGGGACTTTTCACCCCCCCCCCCCCCCTCTAGGGTACTTTCATTTAGTATCAGAGCGTGATGCTTTTTGATTTGTGGCTTAATCGCCTAGAGTCAAAGATCCTCATTTTGATTTATTGCTAATCTAGTTTTGTGGTTTATATTGCTTGCATAGTCTTCATGAATTTACACGATGCACCTAGTTTAGGCTATTTTATAGATGTTGCTCCTAAATTCAATGGTTTCCCTTATACACAATGAAGTTTTAGATTTAAACTATTTGTTAGTTCTAAAAATATCGAATTGCGGGAAGTTATTAATTGTGCTTATGTTATGTCCACTTTGGAGAAATCCAAGTGGAGCAAGTATGATAAAAAGATGTTTACTATGAACAAGTTAGTGTTAGAATTTATGCTTAGTGCTTTTGATTCATCAATTTCTAACAAACTTGCTCGTTTTGATAGTGCTTACCTTTTATAGAAAGGAAACATATATAAACACATCATGACAACTTGGAAGAAATACAACGAATTTCGATGGATTCCGCTTCAAGTGAGAGTGGAGTTTTATCATGCACATGGCCACTAGGCGATAGCCCTAGTGAGGTATGCAAGTCTGAATCCGATAGTGAATTATCTATAGTTAAACTCGTATGTGCATATGAGAAATTAATGAAAGACTACAATTAATTGCATCATAATTTTATAGATTTAACAAGTAAGCATGTAAGCTTAAAATTCGATCATGATTTGTTAGCAACTAAATTTGATATCATTGCCAAAAAAAATATGGCTCTTAAATATAGCAATGATAAATTTAAATTGGAAATTGCTAACTTATCTAATAAAAAAATGATGTCATATTAGAAGTAGAAACAATTAGACATGAATTTAATTCTTTCAAAAATAATAGATTGCTCTACTTCTATTGACAATGCTAGTGTGCGTAATAATGAGTTAAATAATGTGAAAAACCGCATCTCGTCTTTAGATTCAACTCTAAAAACATGCATTGTCAAACATAAGAATCTTGTAGACATATGTGCTAAGTCACAAGCTACTATTTCAAAATCACCTACTCACTATGCGCATATGTATAGCAAAATTTTATAAGTGCTATATTTGTGGCCGAAAAGACCATATTACTAAATTTTGCTATGATGCACAAAAACCTAAGAATGCTAATATTATTACTCCTTGTGCATTACATCAAGGTTCTTCATCACACACACTCACACATGCACCAAATGT